TAAGCCACAAGAATAGAGCACGAGGCTCTGATACCAATTGAAAGGATCGAGATGGACCTAGAGGGCGGGTGAATAGGTACAATTACAAATTTTAATTATTACTACGCAATTTTAGGCAATAGACGGAATATGAAGGTGAGCCTAACAATTGCTAGTAAGAGTAAAGTACTAGGCAAGTAACACAAGCATACAAGTGAGCAAGCACAATAAGATGTAAGTAAGAGAAATCACAACAAGTAACCACAAGTATAGAGTTAGGGTTAGGAATAACCGCAACTCCGGGAGACGAGGATGTATGCCGATGTTCACTTCCTTGGAGGGAAGCTAGTCACCGTTAGAGGGGCGGATGTTACCACGAAGGCACACCTACGCCACGAAGGCTCACCCTATTCTCCCTTTGAGACAACACCACGAAGGCGTTTCTCAACCACTAGTGGTAGACCTTGGGGTGGTCTCCAAACCCTCACAAACTTTCCGGGGGTAATCACAATCGTTGATTCCTCACCGAATGACTCCTACCGCCTAGGAGTCTCCAGCCTCCAAGAGTAACAAGATCCGAGGGGAAAGACTCAAGACTTGCTCAAACTTCGATTTGCTTTGGTCACAAGAAGGGGAGGAACAAGATATTTCTTTTGATTGGAACAACTCTTCGAAACTCTCAAGAATCAAGCCGGGATCTGGGATTTAGTGTGTGAGCAAGAGAGGGAAAGCACTGGTGTTCTTGAGGCGTGTTTGTGTGGAGTGTTCGGCCTTATCCCGAAGGGGTAAGGTGCTATTTATATCATGTCCAGAAAAGAGCCGTTCGGACACAAGTTGACCACCCCGGATGATCTGGGACACCATCCGGATGATCCGGACATTTGTCCGGATGATCTGCCAGAAGGCCCGGATGCAGGTGGTTGCAGCTTAGCTGCGAGCAGCCCGGACAGTCCGGAGGCAAGCCCGGATGATCCGGACAAGCCCCGGATGATCCGGATGGCTGGCCGGACGATCCGGCTACAACATATGGCTTCTGTGAAAAACGGGCACGGATATGCGGACGATCCGGAAGAGGATCCGGACGATCCGGGGAACAGCCCTGATCCGGAGGAATGTCCGGATGATCCGGCTTCAGCCATACCGTTCTGTGATGGAGAGCACCAATTATCCGGACGATCCGGTGCAGGGTCCGGCTGATCCGGGTGAGGCCCGGATGATCTGGGTATCCATCCGGATGATCTGGGTATCCATCCGGATGATCCGGCTAGGAGAGGTGGTAGGTTTTGGCTAAGAGATATTGCTAGGCATTTTGGTCTATTGTGGTAGAATCGTTTATGAGACAAAATGTGAGCAAGTCTTGAACCTACACTTCGGATCCCCTCTTAATAGTGCGGGGTTCCTATTACTCAAGAAATATGAAAAGAGCACAATACTTCAACTTTGTTTGCTCCTTTCCTCGTTGATAATTTGCTTGAGTAAAATCTCATATGATGTGATCATGATGCTCACTAAAGAAAACCAGAGGACAGACGGCCTGTGTATATACTTAGCAAACAAGGTTAGTCCCCTATATGTAGGTTTGTCATCAATATCAAAAATACTCTTTAAGAGCAAGATTGCACTTTCAGTTTTGCTCTGTCGTTGCCGAAAACATTGTAGGGGGTTGGCTGAAAAATCTTGAGAGACGTTTGTTATTATTGTATGTAATTAGCTAATTGCTGGAATGTATGATTTGGTCGTGCACTAAATTCCTCTGTTCTGGCTTAGCCTACACAAGTCGAAATCGGAATAAGTCCGAGCCCAACCGGACTATGAAAAAGGGCAAAAGATGAGACCGTAGAAGACCATGGTTGCGGCCATCAATAAATGCGGTCTGCATGGCTGTCAGGCGCACTGTACAACAAGCCTGAAGAACATATCAATACTCCATCTTATACCATCATACATTCAAATGACCAACGACTCAGATAATATGATCATATAGTAGTACGACCCATATGGAATTTTCGCTATGTTTACAACTTACCTACGATGTTCTATAACTGAAATCTCTATTTCTAAAAAAACAATGATATCTGCTGCTGTTGCATATGCTGCTTAACTTGCTTCTCACCTAGATTGAACTGAACGCATGAACACCTGGTGGAATTCGGTACTTTGGAGAGCTTCAAGATCACTGTTACTGGGGTAATGAGGTTAAGCTCTATGAACATCATGTAGATGCTCTCTTTGCCATGTTCTGACACAAAAGGCCACACTTCGACTACTACGTATACACTATCAATAAAACATATGCCAAGCCAGACCAGCGCACGGTAACCTAAAAAACAAACTATACCTTCCATATCACACAACACTCTACATTCATCTGAATTGCTTGCTTTCTCCTAACAAAATTTTCAGGTCCACTATATGAAAGAGAACCTGCTGCAGTACATTGATCCAGATGATCATACACTCATGGTCAAGCTCGCCGGTGGGCGTCTGCTCGCCGAGTGTCGTATTATGGTAGGAACTGGCAAGAGGGCCACTATCGCCACCAACTGGTTCGAGTTTCATCACCGTGCCAACATTTGTGAAGGAGACATCTGCGCTTTTCGTTTCAAGCTCACTGCAAACTGCCGCCTCACCGTGCACCACCTCTAGATGGACCATCGAAGCCTGTTGATGGGCCATCGAAACCTCTAGATGGTCCATCAAGGACAACGCAAGTCTACTATGAATGTAATCTAGCACTAGTACTCCTAATCAAGCTTTAAAATATCGATATCATGTTCGTATCGGTTTTGCTTTTACATATCGGGCGTCAAATATCGGGTGATATATCAGGCCATATGTAGATATATCGGAGAAAACATGTCCAATGTTTTTCATTATTCTTGTTTAACACCTTTATTTTTAGTAAAACTAAATGTATGATGTCAATGCTTTAACGTAACACTTTTAGATTCCTAGTTTATTAACTTGTTGATTAAGAAACTATTAAGGAAAGATTCACAAAATCCTTACTCTATGGGGCAAAGATTCACAAAATCCTTACTCTATGTGCAGGGGGCGCCATGATGTCAAGTCATTGGCAAAGATGCACACACAGATAATACCCCAAATGAACTAACATGGCATATCTCTTAATCATTTCTAAACATGTACCCGCAGTCACATTCAAGTATTGCCCCTTATTTCACCAGTTTTGGTTCATTGGCCCTATTAAACCTACAAAAAAACTCACAAAACCACAAAAAAGAAACGGAGTGGGAAATAGGAAATGTAGTATTCAGTAATTTCAAGGAAAACCCGGAAATAGGAAACACGCATAATCAAGGAAAAATAACTCCAATCCACATCACACGCTGACCATATATAACACAAATCACATATATAACCAAGGATAAATTTGGTGTGCTAATCATGGTTTAATATTGAAAATATAACCAAGAAAATCCAGCAATAATAAGCATTCAGTTCCATTATAAAGATGTACATATGGGACTGATCCATGCTAAAATGTGTTGTCACTGGAATAATCACTCTACTGGAACTTCCACCATCAAGTTCTTTGAACATTTTCGTTGGTTAGCTTTAGGAACTTGCAAATCAAAAAAGAACAATGTAGTTACTATACAGTATCACATTTTAAACTATATGTAAGCACATATGCATGGTTCTCAATGAAATAGATGCAAACATAATATGCTCACACTGATTCCCTCCGTTCCATAATAAGTGTCATGGTTTTAGTTCAAATTTGACATAAATAAAATATTGTACTCTTTTATTCCTAGATGACCATGGCATGAAAGCCATCATTTGGCAAGAAAAGAATGTTAAACTGAAACTAGCTTGAAAAAAATAGTCCTCAAAGCTTTTCAATTGTATAAACACTATTCGAATTGTATAATGTTCAGAATAATATACACTAATGTCGGTTTCCAGGAGTGGCAACCTTAAGATCAACACCCAAGATGCATATATATCTAATCAGCACAAGATCCATCATTAGCCCACGTGTGCATAGATGACTACACAACCCGATGCATATTTCCAAGAAAATTTACAGTACTGTGATGTGCATATAACAATTCAACAACATTTTGAGCTAGCTATAACAAGTAACAATCGATCAACTGACATACTACACCACTGAAATCAACAAAAGACAATCTCATCGTGGACTAGCCTACCAAAAGTATGAATGAACAATATATTGCTGGATGGAAATATAGCCAACAAAGCTTATGAGTTTGTGTTCACGGTCTCCCCCAAGAAAGAAAATGGATGCCAACAAAGCTGTAGAGCATGCATTCACAAGAAAATGCAAGATAGCCCTCCAAGAAAAAACTACCATGAGTCCATGAGCATGAACTCATTTGAAGGTGTTGCTTTCTGTACCTTCCCTACTGTACTATCTGCCAACAAAGGGCCATTTTCTAACAGTACATTAGTAACTGATGATTTAACAGCACTACATCGATAACAATATCAATTGGCTTTGCTGCAATCACATCAAAATGAAACCACCTCTCTTTTTTCATAGGAACAATTCGATTTGGTCAATGTCACTGTCTTCTAGGCTAGGAGGGTGACATGAATGTTTCTGTACTTTCAGGTTTTGGACAAGTCTTGTGTCGTAAAAAATGGATAACCTATGTTCAAACTATCTTGATGTCTCGGGATAAACATCCCCTGTGCGCTGATCGGTCTCGGTCATCAAATACAAATTTTCTACGACACATGTGTTCAAGCTAGCTGCAGTGCAGGGTGCAATTGGTCAATAGTCTAATCAAAATCATGACTTGGCTGCCTTTTTGCGTTACATTTCTATATCAATATATTATATTCAGTTACGGTGTGTAGTGAGTAACAGTCTAGACAAAATACATAATTGAAGAGTTCATTGTGAGCCATAAAAAGGTACGAAAACAAAAAGAAGAATAGACACGTGAAAATTTACACAAAATAGAAGACTAGCACACAAACCTATCAGTGAAGCGCGGCATGCCGCCATGCACAAACCCGTGAGTTCACCTTGTCGGCTTTAGATAAGATTCCATGCGCCTTTGCACAAAGGAGAGATACTTTCGAAAGTAGCACGTACGGATGTAGTCACACCACGTCAGACGAAATGGACATATTCCATCCTGGAAAGAATAATACAGATCAGAGGGTACAATATATATTATAATGGAAGGAACAAAACAAGTAACTTGATTTACCTTTGCAGCCTTCTCAGGAATATGTACATCACAATTTCTTAGAACATGAAACTGTCGCTCTCCTTTTTGTATTAGCTTTTTATTGTCATCCTCTTCATTCTCCAACTTCTCTTTGTTCTCCTCTTTTCTCTTCTCCAGTTTCAAAACCCCCAGTACCGAGTTATAACTGGCGACCTCAGTTAGGTAAGTGTTTTTTGTCATAGTGTCTACCCATGTTTCTATGTATGGGCACCCTGCGAAGAACTCTTCCAAATTTCCATTTGGATCGTCGCCATCTTTACCACATAACATAGGTTTCACATTTGTCATGTACTCGGTATGCAAAAGAACCAAGAGTTCTCTCCTCTCTTTTGCTGACAGCAGGGAGCAATCACCTTTCCCTGCTTCAAGATTGTGCAGAGGATCTGATAGCAAAAGATCAAGCATCTCACTTAAATCACTAGGGATGAGGTCTTCAGGGAAGCATCCACTTATTAACCCAACAACACACACTACATTGTCTTCTGCTTGATTTTCTTCAAACTGTACAAATTCCACCCCATAGAATTTGACTTTGGACCCTTTCAGAAAGATATGTTTGCGCCCTATTATCTTCATTTTGATACATTTGTCACGAGAGAAGAGCTTAACAAGGTATGCAAGGATGGATTTGATGATATACTTGGCAATGTTTCTCACAAACAAACACTCCTCGCCAGTTTTTGATCCAACAATATGTTTTATTTTCAATAACGGTTGCTCTGCAAGAAACTCCTCAAGGCTAACATTATAACCCTCAAATGCTGACAAATCATGACCATTCTCAATAAGGATCGTATAGTTTTCGTCATTCAAGTAGAGGGAATGAGGTGCTATGCAAGATCCCAATTCAGGTGACAAACTACAATATTGAATGGGACACACTTTAATCTGCAAATGAATTTTCATATAATATCATTAGCTAATAAACCAATATTCTACTAATATAGTGCATATTAGTTTTTTTAAGTCAAACTTGTAAATTTTGACCAAATTTATAGATAAATTATCAGCAACGAATATCAGGTCCAAATAGTGCTCTTTTTCAAAGTTCCTTTCACAACCAATTTTTGGTTTTTTGCAAACTTGTTTTGGGCACGCACATCATACATTCAGGCATCTTGTATGCCAAAAAAAAAATAGATCTAAAAAAATGCTATTTTATTTGATTTTACTTTTCACATCCAGGTGCCAAATCGCCACTCTTGGAAATGCACTTCTCTCTTCTAGATATAGATAATTTGTATATAAACTTGGCCAGAGTTTGTTAAGATTGACTATTGTGAAAACCAATGCACACTATATTATGGGACAGAGAGAGTAACTATAGTAAATTACGTTACCTTATTTTGTGGAACAACATCTGAAGGTAGATATGGGACATCAGTCTCTCCATGAATATCCACAAGCTTCAGGCAAAAATAAGGTCCAACCTGAATGTTTCAAACATTTAATAATGTTTAGGCATGAGCAGTGCATATCTTATAACTGTTAGGTACGAGTTAATGAAATTAACAAGGATGAGAATTTACACCTCTTTCAGATCCAATGGCTCGCCTTCGGCAATATTGGGGAAATCATTAATCTGGATGATATAGAATAAACTAATATTAGGAAAAACATAAACATGAATTCATATTCATACCGAAACAGAGCCAATCTTTCTGAAGTAGACTTATGGGTGTGTATTGGCATTCACAAAAATCTTTCTGAAGTAGACTTATGGGTATATTGGCAATCTCAAAAATCTTTCTGAAGTAGACTATGGGTGTAGTGGCATTTACAAAAATGTTAACACGACAAAAAACACTTTAAGGTGGGCTGATTGGATACCTTTATATTTCTGAAGTAGACACAATCATCTATCCTTGTGAAGACATACATATTATCAGGAGCTTCAGATGTCTTGTGTTGAGGTGAAGAAAACACCTATGGAGTTTGACATAGCATTCAGGCATTCATACATGAAGTACATAAATAAAAAGATAAATAAACACTAACTACAACACATTCTTACCAGCTCCAAAGCATTCTTTACACCAGCCCATTTTTTATCACTACAGAAGTTTAATGAGAAAGCACAAGCTGCACGCTTAACTTTCACTTCTAACATTTCAGATACAAATGCTACAAAAGAAAATGAAAACATCATTAAATCATCAACAAAAAGTAAAAAATCACAATAATAATTTGAATATGTGTGGAGGAGCGTTCTCGCACTAATTCAGAACGATATGATGCAAGGCGTCTCGCATGACGTAAGGATACAACACGTCTACCCAGCTTATTCTAGAATAAACTGCCCCCTACCCAGCTTATTCTAGAAGCCCAACCAAAATTATCTTTTAGAAGACACCTAGTGAAGACTTGACTAGTAGGCTTCTAAAATGAAAATTTTGGTTGGGCTTCTAGAATAAGCTGGGTAGGGGGAGCTTATTCTGGAAGCCCAAAAAGGCCACCAAAAGTACTGGCCCTAAGGCATGCCCAGCGCAGACGAAACCATCAAAAGGTGCCCCATGTGGGTAGCAGGCACTGCCAGGGGCAAGCCCAATGCCGAGGGTTCCATCAAGGTTTTGTCCTATGCGGGTGCTGGGCACGCACTCGTGGGCGACCTGTTAAGAGGGACATCATCACCAAGGGCTACGCTATATGTGAGGGTCGTCACACTCATGCCGCTTCACCCAACAAGGATTACTCGATATATGATATTGTGTCAGGATATTCAATTGGAATATTCCTTTAGGATTCCCTTAAAGCCCATAATATCCCTCACTGTATGTTGTAGATCAAGGGGCAAAACTGTAGTCTCACAACTCTACCCTCCATTTATTATCTAGGCTTGGTACTACGACAATATGTGGTGATATATATTTAAAAACAAACTTTAAAATCTATTGAATTTTACCTGGATTTACGAGGAACTGAGTAGAATTATTTGTCGATATATTAATTATCCAACAAAACATCTCCTTATCTCTTTGAACCCACTGCCACAAAAATAAGACTAATGTAAACACAATGAAATGGACATCACACAATATACAAATAAATAAACTTCATGATTACCTTAGTAAATTAAATTTTCAGAAGAGTTTTATTCTTCTTACCTGAAAGAAAAGACATAAACCACATCTGGTTCGACTTATCAGATCTTTCACTCTGTTGGGATCACATTCATATGCCGTCCCATCACTCTTGTAAGGCAGAAGAAAGGTAATCGACCTTAGCAAATGTCCATACCTAACAAAAATATTTAATTTAGATTAATACGGATTGTTGCATGGTTGCATGGTTACAACACGCACATGGTTGATTCGTAGAATTTGAAAAAACATAGGGAAACTTAGGAGTAGAATAAGTTTGCAGGATTGCGTGTTTGATAGCACGAATAGGAAAAACACATGAAACCCTAATAGGCATACTCAGATTAAGTAGAACATATGCAAAGGTAAGATTAAATTAATACTATTCTACTAGTTAATACTATTTGCCTTGATCTTTGTGCATAATAAAACTCTAATTTGAGGCGAGTGGATTGTAAAATTCCTTGTTTTCTCCTATGAAGCTCAAACCCAAAAAAATAATCATATGATCCATTCCTTTGAATCAACATGGATAAATAGTGTAACCATAGGGAACTTCCTATTATTATGCTCTTCCTTCACTTCTCTATGAATCAAAGAGGCCCTACAAAAATAACCTGTGTGGCATGTCTGGAGCATAAGCAACAATAACAGTCGATGATGCACTCAAGCGAATGTCCTCTGGCACCGGCTCTGGCTTCCACTTCTTTGCCACCGGCTTTGGCTTCCACTTCTTTGCCACAGGAGCAACCTCCGAACCATCCTGCCCGACCAGCACGGCGTGGCCTTTCCCCTCTTTTCTCTTCTTACCCGTGAGCGGTTCACTGGATTCCCAGATCGATTCCCTCGATGATGCATTCGGTTCACTCACCGGATGTGTCTTCAGCTTCTTTGAAACAAGCACAACCTCAGGATCCTCTTCCCGGACCAGCCTATCCACGTCGCGCCTTTCCCCCATTTTGGTACCCGGCAGCTTCTTCCGCCTCTTGTTCAGCTTCTTTGAAACGAGCACAACCTCGGGATCCTCCTCCCGGACCAGCCTATCCACGTCGCGCCCTTCCCCCTTCTTGGTACCCGGCAGCTTCTTCCGCTTCTTGTTCACCTTCTTTGAAACAAGCGCAACCTCTGGATTCTCCTCATCCTTATCCCTAATGGAATTTTCCCCGGGGCTCAATTTGCCCTTCATCAGCTCTCGGAGTTTCCTCAACGACGACGGCGGCGCCATTGGTGGTGGAGGAGGAGATGGAGGTGGCGCAGCTAGGGTTTAGATATTCCCATTTTTTGTTTTGGAAGAGGAGGCTAGGCCTGGATTGGACCGGAACTAATATAGAGCTCTTTACGTCAAAAAATTGCCCCCGTGCAAGAACCGGGCCAGCCCATTAAGCTACGTGAACCGAATGCACTTCCATTTCCCATTTCGACCACGAAACACTTTAGCGACCCGAACTGTAGCGTTTCAAAATGTAAACATTTTTCTAAAAAAAGAAAAAAAATCAGATCTGAAACATTTTTTAAAACGCAAAGAATTTTTGAAAATTTACGATTTGTTTAAAAACCTGAACCTTTTATGAAAGCACAAACATATTTTCAAATTTGTGAACAGTTTTTTAAAAAATGAACATTTCCTAATAATATGAATATTATTCCAAAATTGCAAATGTTTTTAATAAAATAAAAATAAAAAATAAAAAATAACTTTTTTAATAATTGATTTTAAAAAAAACATAAAGAGAAAAGGGAAAAGGAAAAGAAAGCCCCGATAATAGGAAAAAAGAACCCTCTAAAAGGTTCCGAAAACTGGGACCTGTAGTAGAACGTTAGCAATCTATAAGCGGGGCGGGCCATTTACATCGCTTCCATCCCCTCGATTGTGCGAAACGCCAACATTTTTTACACTGGATTTTGTTGAAAATATGCCCTAGAGGCGATAATATTTTAGTATGATTTATTTCCAAGTTTATAATTATTGTTAATATTCTGTGCTATAACTGTTATGGTACCTGAATATGCAATTCGGAGAAAACTATGAGCATGTCTAGAGTTAGAAACGGTAAAACAAGATTCCTAGTCTTGCCTCTAGGAATAGCTCAAAGTGTTGACTGTAGATTCTGCTTTCGTGATCATGGGCATGACCATAATGCCGACAACATTTGAGAGCATGACGTTGGTAGAACACTCGTGTTGAATTGACCCAAGTTGTTTGTTATACTTGAAGATGAAATTGTCTAAAGTCTATAGTCCATAACAAGAGAGTTAACATTTGTATGACTCCTTAGATTATGAGAGTATCGAGTCACTCCATACCGGACGGTGCACTTTGGGGTTGTTCCAACGTCATCCGTAATAGGGTGATCACAATGGCAACTTATAGGTTCATCAAAAACATATGACAAGGGACTATATAGCCCGAGATTGGAATTTACTCCTTCGATGATGCCGTGGTATCCTTAGGACCCTATCGGTGTGACGGCATCCACCATCATATGGCCATACATAGCGTGATTGGATCACAGGGATGCCGGAACACGGGAATGAGAAAAGGAACAAAACCGCTAACAAGGAGACTAGTATAGCGAACATGTGTTGGTCTCACGGGGATACCGATATATCTCACCTCGGTTTTTGTAAAGTACTGTGAAGCAAAAGGTATAACATATTATAACAAAAGGTTCACTAGAAAATCGTTAATGTGAGAATAGGGGGGAATATTTGTTGGAAATATGCCCTAGGGGCAATAATAAAATAGTTATTATCATAATCCTCGTTCGCGATAAATGTTTACTATTTGTGCTAGAATTGCATTGATCGGAAACTTAAATACATGTGTGAATACATAAACTACACAATGTCCCTAGTAAGCCTCTACTAGACTAGCTCGTTGATCAAAGATGGTTAAGGTTTCCTAACCATAGACATGAGTTGTCATTTGATATCGGGATCACATCGTTAGGAGAATGATGTGATGGACAGACCTAACCATAAGCTTAGCATCACATCGTATCACTTAGTTATTTGCTACAACTTTCTTCATGTTAAGTATCTATTCCTTAGACCATGAGATCATGTCACTCCCGGATACTGGAAGAATACCTTGTGTGCTATCAAACGTCACTTCATAACTGGGTGATCATTGATACGTCCATTTTGCATCATGTTTACCTACTGTTAGTTACTATGTTTTCATGCATAATATGTTGGGGAGCGCAGCAATTTCAAAAAAAATCCTATGATCATGCAAGATCTATCTATGTGATGCATAGCAACGAGAGGGGAGAGTGTTGTCTATGTACCCTCGTAGACTGAAAGCGGAAGCGTTTTATCAACGAGGCTGATGTAGTCGTACGTCTTCACGATCCGACCGATCTCAGCACCGAACGTACGGCACCTCCGTGTTCAGCACACATTCAGCTCGGTGACGTCCCTCGTACTCTTGATCCAGTTGAGGCCGAGGGAGAGTTCCGTCAGCACGACGGCGTGGCGACAATGATGATGAAGTTACCGGCGCAGGGCTTCGCCTAAGCACTACGACGATATGACCGAGGTGGAATACTATGAAGGGGGGCACCGCACACGGCTAAGAAATCAACTTGTGTGTCTATGGGGTGCCCCCTCCCCTGTATATAAAGGAGTGGAGGAGGGGAGGGCCGACCCTCTCTATGGCACGCCCAAGGGGGGAGTCCTATTCCCAGTAGGGGTAGGTTTCCCCCTTCCCTACTTGGAGTAGGAGAAGAAGGAAGAAGGAGAGAGGGAGAAGGAAAGGGGGGGGGAGCCCCCTACCCCAATTCGGATTAGGCTTGGGGGGGCGCCCTCCACCTGGCTGCCTCCTCCTCTCTTCCACTAAGGCCTAATAAGGCCCATTGACACCCCGCCACCATCATCATCCCAACGCCATTAACTTCCCCCTGGCACTCGCCGACGCCGGAGCTCGCCGCAGCGAGAACGGGCATGGTCTGGCCAACCCAACAGTGTGCGGCGCACTGTGTTCGTCGCCACCCCAGTGTTCCTGTGCTCATCTCCATCCGTTCACAGTGCTTGCGTGAGCTGCGTCGCCTTCCCCTCGCTCTCTGATGTTGTTCGTCGCCGAGCGCAGCATCCAAGTGTCCTTTGGCGGAGCCCGATCCCCTCACTCCGCTCGGCTATAAATCTAGCCCCCCAGCCTCCTCGAGCATCCCCAGCTCCTCTCACACACTCCACAAACTCGTAGGTAGCCGTAGCCTGGCCGAGCAGGCCTCGGGGCGCCGTCCCCGAGCTCGAGCTTGCCGGTGATTCCCTTTGCCCGTCCACACTGCTCCAGCCCCCTCCCAAGCTCAGGCGACTCTTCCCGGGCCTCTGTCGTGCTTCAGTGGTGCCGTCCAACTCGGTTGGAGCCACTGGGGCGGCCCCTCGTCGCCGTCATCTCCAACTCCGGCGACCTCATCCCTTTGTCGCCGCTGGAGAAGCTCTTTCCGTCCCGTCCGACCACCCCTAGCTGTTCTACGGGTACGGGCAGGTGCGCCTCTCTCTGCTCTTTCAATCCCTCTGTCACAACCCTAGATTGGCCTTGTTTGTCTTTGCATCTCATCATGTCATCATCATAGTTATGTTTATGAAATTTGAATTGAGGTTAGTTGAAACCCTCATAAATCATTTCAGAAATAATCAACATCAAAATCTCTTTAAAGAAGTCCAAGAAAATGTTCCTCTTAGTCTCTGAAAATATTGGCAAGAGGTAAAAGTCAAACCAATATTTTCGGTATCTCAGAAACATTTATTTTGGGCCTTTGAATTAATTCAATAACTATTTGCATTGGATATATATTTCTTATATAATTAATATATGTCCAATAATTCTGGAACATTTTATGTGGTTTGGTATATTTTAGTTCTAGCCACATAATTAATTTCAGCATTTTATCAAATGGTTTAGTATTTTTACTAAATCAAAACAAAACAGAACAAAATAGAAAACTGAAACAAAAAAAGAAAGAGGGAGAAAGAAAACCTCACCTGACTTACTGCAGCCCACCTGGACGGCCCAGTCGGCCATCCCAGCCACCTGGCCCAGCCCACCTCTTCCTGTCGTCTTCCTCCCCTCGCCCCGAAGCAGCTCGGTGGCGAGCGCTGGCGATGCCGTGGCCTCCTTCCTGCCTGCCTCACGCCCTCGAGGCCCTTCCAGCGCCACGGAGACGGCCACGCACCCCCCAGGCCCTCTCACTCTCTCCCCGAGCTCCTCTCCTCCTCTGGATCTCTTGCACGCAACCACCAAGCGCTGTCGCCGCCGCCGACGAACACCACCGCGCCATTGCCTCTCCCTCACCTCTCCGTGCTGTCCAGAGGCTCCGCCTCGACGCCACAGAGCCCCAAGATGAAGCACGCGCTCGTGGGACGCCCGAAGCGACGCCATCATCCTCATCCATGCCATCGGCCGCCGGAGATCCCCCTTGCCGCCCCGCTTGCTCCGACCCCTCCCCGAGCCCGCTGAGTGATCCGTTGAGATCGCTGTGAGCTCCATCACCATTCCCCTCCTCCTCGCGCTCATTTCCGCACTCTAGCCGCCCTTTTCACCGGGGCCGTGAGCTCCTCGCCGCCGATGATGGCGCAGACGAGGCCAGAGCCATCGTAGCTCACTCCCGAGCATGGCAACGTGCTCCACACCTCACCAGGAGCCTAACACACGCCCCAGCTCCCCCTCCCGTGCACTACAACGCCAAACCCGCAGGTGCCCGAACTCCGGCCGCCGTGGAAATGCTCGCCGCCGCCAACTCCGGCCATTCCAGTTGCTGCCGCCACCACCACTAGATGCGCGAGAGCTCCAGCAAGCCGTAGCAGCAAACCGCGCTCAAAACGGAGCCCCATAGCAAAATCCCGACTCCCTCTGCCGCGGATTTGGTCGCTGAGGGAGTCCTGGACTAGGGGGTGTCCGGATAGCCGGACTATCATCATCGGCCGAACTCCAAGACTATGAAGATACAAGATTGAAGACTTCGTCCCGTGTCCGGATGGGACTTTCCTTGGCGTGGAAGGCAAGCTTGGCGATACGGATATGTAGATCTCCTACCATTGTAACCGACTCTGTGTAACCCTAGCCCTCTCCATGTCTATATAAACCGGAGGGTTTTAGTCCGTAGGACGAACAACCATTACAACAATCATACCATAGGCTAGCTTTTGGGGTTTAGCCTCCTTGATCTCGTGGTAGATCCACTCTTGTACTACCCATATCATCAATATTAATCAAGTAGGAGT